CACCCATGCCGGTTTCACTTTGACTTGCCCTGCTTTGACTTGGGGTATCGGAATCCTCTCGTATCGCAGGTCATGTTGCCCATGGAACCGCAGCGCGTTCATCGAGTTGTCATCTGCCGCGGCGGCCATTATGATCGAATTGGGTTCACACTATTAGAAGCGTATATGAGAGTGACTTGAAAGATGGCGGAGGACAAGAGAAGGACAGAAGTACTTGGTCAAGGTGGCGCAGGTAGTTTGGCTCCTTCCATGGCCGACAAACAGACGTCGCGCTCATTCCCCGGACTCGGTCAGTCCGTTGGCTTCGGTCTGTTCCTACTGGCAAGCGCATGTGTGCACCTGCTGCCCAAGATCACGGAATGCCCAAAAGGGTAAGCCTCCGGTTCATCACCCCGCATTCACGATGCGGGGTACCAGGTGGCATGGCAAATGGCCGGAAGCTTGACAACGCGAACCGATTTGCACTGGAGGGACCAAGTTCTGGACGAGTTCATCCATATCAGCTCGGCTCATGCGCATGCCATTGTAGCAGTATAAGAGCCGCGTGCCACTGAGGACTAGCTTGGTGCACCCGCGTACACAATCCTGGATTCTCAGCATATCCTACTGCATGCGCACTCATTGGTCGACGCTGCACGGAAAGGCAACAAAAAACAAACTCTGGATACACCTACCGATGACCTACCGATGAGAGATGAAGTGCGAGGCCCGGGTTATGACGTCGGCAACTAAAGCATGACGCTCGGCACTCGGAACAGCTACGTCGTCGTACTTTCCCCGTTTGGATCGAGCTCGGAAAATCTGTCATCGCCTTCGCTGAATTCGCCGGCGCTCGAATGCGACATTCTTACAACACGATATCTGGACAACGAAGATGACAGGAGCTATACAAGCGCATTGACGAAATCCACTGTAATTCGGTACGGTCGGAACGACCAGACGCGTATAGTGTGGATTAGCCAGCGCGACATGGCATGGTTTGCGATCTAGCCCTCGAAACCGTTGGCAGAACTCCGATGTGACGGTTAAAGTCGCGATCATTGACGCGTCAGTGACGGTCAAGAAAAAGGTACAATGCGCGCCATAGCGACAACGCGCTCGTGGCTGTAGGCCTACCCAATCAGGGAGCCGCAGGAGCCTCAACGGCGGGTACCCTCTCGTTCCCGTCCACTGTTATGACCTCACTGGACGAGACGCAATGGTGACCATGGGCCGACTCTAACAGCTGGCGGGGGATTGACCGATGCTTGAAATACGTGTGCATGCCCCTCAACACCTGCCCCTCCATCATCTCTCTCACCTCCCCAACAACATTTCCCATACTCCAATTCAAACCCAAACGCAACGATGCCCTACCCAGAGACCACCGACGCCTTCGCGGTGACCGACATCAAGAACTGGAGCACATTCAAGCGCCAGGAGGTTAGTCAATAAGCCAATCTTCCAATTGATAGCTGTACTGACATTTTCCCAGCTTCCCCTCAAGAAGTTTGAGGAGTACGACGTCGACATTGCCATTGACGCTTGCGGTGTCTGCGCTTCAGATGTCCACACCATCACTGGAGGATGGGGCGAGGAACTCCCTCTACCCCTCTGCGTAGGACACGAGGTTATCGGCAAGGTCGTCAAGGTCGGTGACAAGGTCACCCGAGTCAAGGTTGGAGACCGCGCCGGTATTGGTGCTCAGATTGGCGCCGACCTCACTTGCGACCAATGCAAGAACGACCAGGAGAACTACTGCCCCAACCAAGTCGACACATACGGTGCTAAGCACAACGACGGCACTGTCGCACAGGGTGGATACTCCAGCCATATTCGTGGCCACGAGTACTTTGTCTTCAAGATCCCAGACAACCTCGACACTGCCCTCGCAGCGCCCATGCTGTGCGCTGGTCTCACCACATACTCGCCCTTGAAGAGGTTAGGAGCCGGCCCCGGCAAGAAGGTCGGTATCATCGGACTCGGAGGACTTGGCCACTTCGGTGTCCTTTGGTCGGTAGCTATGGGCGCCGACACCTATGTCATCTCGCACTCTCCCAACAAGAAGGAGGACGCGATGAAGATGGGTGCTAAGGACTTCATTGTCACCAAGGACAAGGGCTGGGCTGAGCCATGGAAGTTCCAGTTCGACTTCGTCATCAACACGGCTGATGCGACTGACAAGTTCGATCTCTCGGAATACTTCTCCATCCTCAAGGTCAACGGTACCTTCCACATGGTCGGCTTCCCTGACAACCCGCTCCCTGCCATGCCCGCCCAGATCTTCGCACCCAACGGCTGCTACATGGGCGCGTCCCACATCGGAAACAGGCCCGAGATGGAGGAGATGTTCCAGCTTGCATCCAAGCAGAACATCAAGAGTTGGGTACAGGAGATCCAGCTCAGCGAAGAGGGCATCAAGGAGGCAGTCGAACGCGTGTACAAGAACGACAACGTCAAGTACAGGCTCACCCTTACTGGCTTCGACAAGGTCTTCGGCAAGAGGGCTTAGATGGCTGCAAGAGCAGTGTGGTTGCCTTCTAGTACATAATAGATATCTATGAATAATGATGAATTTTGACGAAACTATTGCGCACTTGGTGTCGTCATTCCTGCCCATCGCGCGCGCTCGCCCCACCAGATCTCAGCGCGTCGCGTAGCTTTCGCCGGCGGGGATTATCCTGCCCCAACACCACAAACACACCACCCTCACCTACTCCACGGTGCTCTTTCAACTCCCCCTCAAACCCCGATTAACTCTCCGCGATGCCGTCGGTACCGATCCATCTCCCTTGCTCCTCCGCAACATCCTCTCGCGCCGAGAACCCCCTTCCGCAGCTCCTCCACACGCCCTCGGGCCTGGCCCTCATCGAAATCCAGGGCACAATCCACTTCCCCCCGCCTGCAGCCTCCGTGGCCTCCACACAAGTCGGCAAACTCGTCTTCCCACACTACAATCCCGCCATCAACGACCCGAGCGACACGAAATGGATGAAGCGCGTCTACATGTACGTCGGCAAAGGCCAGCGCATGACGGGCGAGTGCAAGAAGCTGCCCAAACCGCTTGGTGTCATGCGCAAGCGGGAGAAGACGGATGTCGAGGATGTGGAGATGAGTGGGCTTGGGGACGAGGATGGTGCGAAAGATGAGGAGCTGGAGATTGTCGAGGTGGTGAAGTACAAGATTGTGTTTTCGGCGCGTCCGGAACCTATTAGTGGCGTCGCTGAGGTGGATTGAGGAGAGGGAGGATATGAAGATGCTGTTGCTCGAGTGCGAAAGCCGGGACGACCACTCGCGGTACGCGCATAGCCTTCGAACGATCGCCCAACGAGCAAGAGCAAGCCTACACACACGCGACGAGCCTCATATCATACACGCGAGCCGGTGACCGGATGGAGTGCCGGTGTCGCAAAGTCGCGAAACAATGGAATACCATACTGCCACACTTCGCGCTTAGACTTTAGGATAGCGACCAGACCGACTATTCAGACTTCGAGAAAGACTTCCGAGCAAGCCTCTGTTGTACGCGATATGAGCTGTACCCGGATTTACAGGCTCGGTCGGCAATCCCTGCATCGGCTGCAGTCACAAGGATCGGGCGTTAGCCACTTGGACACCAGCATATTGATTAAGCAATTTGGCGTCGCACAAGCATATTGCAGTTCAGCATCGCTCCCGGGTTTTGGTGCTCGCTTGTCGCCCTAGGGTACTTTAACCACTTTACGCGGCGACCACGGTCCGAATCATATCCAGCATGAGCACTATATCTGGCATCATGTGGTAGCGTTCTGGAATGAGGATGGAAGATATATGGTAGCAGAATCGTACTTCAAAATGGTCTATCTTCGAGAAGACAAGCAATCGGCTATCCACCTGAAGCACTTGCCCTACCATACCTCATCATGCGTTGCTCGATCACGTCTCTGCTAGCCCTGCTAGCTAGCACTACTCATGCGGCTGTAGGAGATTGGCAGCAGTGTATGCTCATCACAAAGTAGTTAGGATTCATTTGCTAATTGAAGACCAGGTGGTGGTACGAACTGGTCTGGAGAAACAGCATGCAACTCGAGTGCTGGCTGCGTCAAGATCAAGTGAGAGACGGAATCGCATCATTGCCTCGCGCATCAATGCTAACCTTCCAGTGACTACTATTCTCAATGCCAGCCGGGCGCGGCACCCGCACCTGTGCCCACGTCTACGCCTGGGCCCTCCACTATGTCCACTATGCCAATACCAACATCTACAACAATCTCACCAAGTGCACCAACCACCACCAGCACCCCCGCAGGCACCGGCCCAGGCAAGACACTCCAAAGCGGCTACTACTGGATCCGCGGAGTCGCAGCCCCCAACTTCCACAAATACTTCCAAACGAACCCCCTCTACTCGACGGGCCCCGCCCTCCTCGGCGACTACACAACCGCAGGCCAGTTCCAGGTCGTCAGCGGCCAGCTAGTTCAACTCGTCTCCGCACCTGGCGAACCTGTCAAACTTCTTTACGCCGTAGTGTCTGAGGAGCGCTCGATCAACGGAATGTCGCTTGCTGTCAGCTTCTCGGAGAGCAAGAATACGTATGGTACGTTTGCGTGGGGTGGCGATGATCTTCAGTGGAGTGTTGCGGGTGTTAATCGGCCGAATAAGAGTGCGTGGTATGTGTGCACTGGGCAGAAGTTGTACATCAATTTGGGGAATTACTTGTATCAGACGCCGAGTGGGTGTGCGGATCAGACTGTGCATTATTATAACGATAAGACGGCGAACAACTAAAGCATGTGGTTCAAGGACTTGGACGGCAGAGTAAAGAAGAATTGGGAATGAAATAGATCAAATGAGTTGAGTAAACTACTGATCACAACATGAAGATCATCACTCCTAAGAGCACATGATCAATTCAGTCGAACCTCCATATACCATTCCAGTACCATCTTGACGATGTCAGACATCTACACATACCAATGTAGTATCTTTCCCGTCTATCAGAACCCTTTCTTCCCCCGAGTCTTCCCCGATGCAGATCCCGCCTAGCAGAGATAGCCAACAAGATCACCAACGGTAGCGCAGTTGCCAATGAGAGGGTAGTCGCACTGGCTACCATCATTACCAGGCTGGCAGCGGAAGTACTGGCAGGTAGAGCCGTAGGGACCGCCAAGCTGGCGGGCGACGTCGGTGAATGGGTTTCCGTTGAGAGAGGAGAGGTTGTACCTGCCTGGTGTTAGTACTGGAGCTGAGATGGCTTGAAGCGAGTACGTGAAGAAGTGGTAAAGGCGAGCAAAAGGAAAAGCATAGGTGAAGGAAAGATGATTGACATACCAGATCTTGCGATTCTCCTTGGCCCAGTTGAACTCGTACTGATAGCACGTCTGCCAATCCGCTGGCTTGCGAGCGACCTTGACTATTTGCATACATCAGTAACGCCCCTCACCTCAGCACGTTGGACTTACCAGAGTGTCCACAGCTATCCATGAGAACAGGAACAGTGGTGATATACTTCTGTCCCGCAGCGAGTTTGACTTCTTGTGTATCCTTGCCGCTCATGGGACCGCAGGTCTCGCCTTGGCCCTTGCGCGATCCAGGCTCTGCGGCGACACCTTGGCGGACCCAGACGTCGAAGTTGCAGTTGTTGTTGAGGATCATGCCGATGGAGGAAGGGTTGGCGTCGGCGGCTGGGTTGGGGATGGCGGTGGCATGGGTGAGGGAGAGGATCGAGAGGAGGGCCAGGAGGAGGACGGTGATGGTCCACATGTTGATCAGGCTTCTTGAGTTGGTGAGAAGCTTGGGGCGTGTGTATGGCCTGGTTATTGCAGATATTGGGAGGATGAAGATGTTTGAGAAGAGGGGGATTGCTCGTCGAGGAATGCGATCAAAATGGGAAGAAGTAGAGGATAGGAAAGATCGATGGAGCAGCAGGGCGAGCACTTTATAAGCCTCATGCTTCCTCTTTAGCGGCGTCTTCTGAGCAGCACCGGTCGATGTGCGGAAATGATGCCAGGCCTAGAATCCAGGACGGTGAGGGTTGAGTTTGTTTGCAGTCGAATCAAGACATGTTGTGCTATATGGGTGGTCGAGACACATTAGCGGTCAAACAGATAGCCAAGGAGCTGATCTCGTCGAGGCCAGGCGATGCAAACAGGCTGGCATCAACGGGGTACTTTACGGCTGTGTGGCGGGGAAACTGCGGAAGGTGATACATGATTTGTGTGTCATATCTAGGTCAGTGTAGGACCGAGGAGAGAGTGTATAAGATCACTACGCCAGAGTGCGGCGGGGAGAAACGTCTAGTGGGTTGAGAAACCCAGAGAACTATGCGTGCTTGTTGTACTCAATTTGCTTCGAAGATAAGATGGGTCATGCTCGGAGTGCTTCTCACCTCAGAGTAGACTTTAAGTATTTAGTACAGTTCATGGAAGCAGAGATTGAGCACTGCCGGGGGTGATGTTCGACATTGACAACTAAAGTAGATGTGCATGAATGTGTATGATTGACTAAGATCAGAAGCACACCGAAGTGTTTCGCAACATGTCTATCTATCGCATATCTTGCATTCGCCAAATGCCATACAATAGCCCTCTGATATCCAATCTATATAGTCTGTGTACGCTCGATCAGAAACTCCGACTCCAAGTCAACAACGACCCTCATAACCACCAAATACCTACTCCAGCCTGCCACAGAGCACCCCGACAACACTACCGATAGTATCACAGACTGGCTGGATCGGCCAGTCACATCCATGGACCGGGTCTTTACCGTATTGTCCAGGTGCGCAGTGAACGAAAGGGCATGTAGGGCCGAAGCCAGCGAGGTAGCGCTCAACGTCCTGGAAAGGCGCACCGTCTTCGGCAGAAAGGTTGTACCACATACGGCCGTCATGGGGGTCCAAGGAGTACTCGATCTGGTAGACGTTGCGATCCTCGGGATGGTAGGCGACCTTGACTGGGTATGTATTAGCAGGAGCGATTGAAAGTAATGAGGAAGATTAGGAGATGAACAGGAAATACGTACTGTTGTGACCACACTGGTTCAGCTGGCACGGGAAGGGCGCCTTGTACCGATGGCCTGGTAGTACTTCCACCATCTGGGTCTCCCCAGCATTGGCGCAGGGCTCTCCAAAGGAGTTGTTGGCGGCGATAGACAGACGAGCCCAGACTGAAAAGGGACAGTGGTTTCGAATTTCACCTCGAATTTGAGGAATGTCTGGGTCGCCCAGGCCGATCCAACTAGGTATAGATATAGACGCCATCGATGAGCCGGGTTCGATCAGTGAGGGCATGAAGTGTTCTTTGGGGAAGACATGGCTCCAGTCCTTGGACATGTCTTGAGTCTTGAGATCGGTTGGGGCGGCGTTGGTGAGCACAGTAAGGACGCCGAGCGCAACTGTCCACGATTAGCTAAGACTTGAAGACTTCATAAGGCATCTTACCAGCGAGGTAACTGGAGGAATACATCATGTCGATGACGGGTAGATCTGAGAGGATCTAGGAGATCTGATATGGGGGAAAGGGGAGATAAGATCGAGTACTGTATATAGTGATGGCTTTCGGAAGAAAATGCCGATCAGGGAAGTCAGGGCTGGTGTACGGGAGAAGGAACGAAGAAGTTCGCAGTTTATATGCGCCCATGGGTGTACGCTACTGGCGCTGTTACAGCGCGCTCTTACCGGCGTGGCGATCAAAGACCCAGGTGACTCTTGCGATAATCACACGTGTGATGCAGCAGGCGGTGTTAGCTGGCGAAATGACGATGAAGAGCCAAGGAACTGAGAGCGTTCGTCGTATAACTGAGTGAGCAGGAAACGGAAGGCGATAAAGGCCATTTTGAGTGAGGTAAAGAGCACGTTCGTTGATCACGGGTGACGAGTTGGTCTCGAATATTGGGTGTTTGTTTGATAGTCCCCGCAAGCGGAGTGTTCCGTGAGCAAGTTACCAGCCTCTTGGCAATACCACACCTTGATGTGGCCATGAGGCCTCGAAGGTCAGCCCGCCGATGACGCGCTTGAGTGGATCGTTTACCTGCACATAACATCGCGCCACGAGGAATTCATCGATGGAGTTGGTGACAGGACTGCGCCCAGGCCCAGGCAAGCTCTATCACAACATAGTCTTCGCGGCATTCCATCCCGCAGCCCAATGCCAAAGCCTCGCATCTACTGTCTTGCCCTGTTGATCGTACTTGACCAAGCGGTCGTACAGCTCGTCAATTGGCACCACGACCCTCTCGATGAACTCGCCGTCATCCAGCGCCTGCTCGGGCTCCGCGTCGCCTTCTTTCAAGTTGACTTCCACCATGGCCAATTGCATATTTGCAGTGCTTAGACCAGGGTCGGAAACGATGGTCGGGCTGATGAATGCTAGCTTGCCCTTGTATCCAGTCTCTTCGTGTAGCTCTCGTACGCTGGCCTCGCTAGGTGACTCCTTCTCGTCAACTAGACCGGCGGGAAGCTCGACGCAGACGGCATTGACGGGCGGGCGGTACTGCAGGATGATGATGGTGGAAGGTGGGCGCGAGGGGTGGCGAATGATCGTGGTGATGGCAACGGCGTCGACGCCTGCCTTACCTCGAGTCTTGCGTGCCGCGGCTTCCCATACGCGGTCTTTGCCAGTTTGATCCTGCCATGAGATCTTCTGGAACTCGATCCACTTTGCCTCGCTGGCAGGAAGTGGCTGTGAAGGCAGACATACAACGTCAGTCCATATTTCACGTGTATATCGTGCAGTCAGAACTTACCTCGACCTTGACGATCTTTGGATCTTGTGGCATGTTGTAGGCTGCGTAGAGTGGTGCGCGGGTGTGGAAGGTGCGTGGTAGAGGGCTGTGTTGTACCGTTGAATTGCGCAGTCGCAATATTCCCCGGGAGCTGAGTTTGGCGGAGATTGGTGTTTGTTTCGTGAATAGAGAAAGTGGGTGTCTGTGCATCGGTGGTGACTGTTGATGTCAAGCTGCCGCGATTGTGGACGCTGACGTAGGAGATTCGGAGCTAAGGCAACCCCCGCGTCACGCTATCGCGAGGTCACGTGGGCGCGCTGATTCGACACTTCCAAGGTTGTGGTTCTCGTATCAGCCATTCTTCTTATCCAAGAGAATGTTTCGTGGACCGTCAGAATTAGGGTGGAGTAGTATGAAGTCTAGGTACCTTCCTATGGAATATAGAGACCCGTATACTATCACAGGGCATTATTGCGCTGCCGCGTGCCAACCCCTCTAAGCAGGCGTCTTCCTTACATCCGTCAACTTAACCATCAGCGGACTCTTCTCCCAAGTATTATACGCCTTCAATCCTTTGAACTCATCCTTCGGGTCCCAAAGCGGCGCCCCATCCGCAAACTCAACATCAAAGTTCCACAAAAACGCACCCAGAATCAGCCTCAACTCGACATACGTCAGATTCCTGCCAATGCACCCTCTCGGTCCGGTCGAGAAAGGTTGCGCCGCTTTCTTAGCGTCGCCAGCAAATTGTGCTTTGGACTCTGGGGTGTCGAGGAAGCGTTCGGGGATGAAAGTGTCCGGTTGCGCAAAGTTGGCAGCTGAGTGTGATGCGCCCCAGGAACTGACGCAGACTGAGGTGTTCTCGGGTACGGCGTGGCCGTCGATTAGTGAACCGCCTTTGGGCACTGTGCGCAAGAGACCAACGGGTACTGGAGGGAAGATGCGAAGGCCCTCCTCGATGCAAGCGTTCATGTATGGTAGGCTGCCCAAGACGTCCATGTTGATGTCCTCTTCAGTCTTGACCGCGCTTCTCAACTCGTCTTTCAACTTCTTGAAGATGACCGGGTTTCTCAGAAGATAGTTCGTCAGTCCACAGAGCTCCGTTGCGGTAGTCTCACTGCCCGCCACGATGAAGAGAGCTGCGTTCATAATCACCTCGTCGTCGCTGACCTCGTTCTTCTTCTCTCGTTGTTTAAGAATGTACCAGATGAAGTCGCGGTGATCATTGTCTTTTTGGTTCAGTCTCTTCACAGTCTTCTCAGTCGAGTTGCGCAGATGGCGGAAACGGCGTTCGCGGACGACAGTGGGTATGCACCACATGAGGAATTTCTGTGCGAGTGACCCGGGTTTGGCAAAGCGGCGAGTTGCTTGTTCAATCGCGCCGGATTTGATGGCTTCGTAGATTAGGACTACCCAGTTTGCGGACTCAGAACCTTCGCCTGAAAAGATCTGTCAGTACAGGCTAAGAGTGTATACTACAACAACCCTTGTGTGGGCGGTATGTACCTTCGCGTAGACATCCAAACGGCTCGCCAAAACTGAGATCGCCAATGATGTCAAAGGTGCAGAAGTTGAACCATGAAACCATGTTCGCGGCTTCACCCTTATGCGCCTTTTCCCTCAGTCTATCCACAAACAGGTTCACATATCCCTTCAAGATGTACTGTTGTTCAAGCAAAGCCTGCTTGCTGAACGCATGAGCTAGCGCTCTCCTCTGCCTCGCATGGTGGATATCCGGTGCCATGGTCAGGTTTGTCGCGCCTGGTATCGCTTCTACGGCACCCACGTGAATGGGATCTTTGTCCATGTTCGCAAGCCCGACTCGATGTCCGTAAATGTCGTCCCAAGCTTTTGCTGTGTTGAAGGAAAGCTCATTGGGCATGACGCGCACTACGGGCCCGTATTTGTCGTGGTGAACCTTGTAGTCAAAGGCGATACGGCCACGTAACAGGGAGATTATCGAGGGAATGGGCGAAATGCGCCATAACAGCGGGCCAGGATATCTGGCAAGAGGGTGAAGTGTGAGGTTGTAGATTGCCGTCAAGACTACGTACGCGACGAACTGGACTTATCAGATCAATGTCAAGGGGAGAGCTGAAAGACGTACTGCAGCGGGTGCCCAGATCGCGATCAGGCGAACGCGATCCTCGTCTACGAAACCCATGGTGAGGTTCGGTCTCTATTCAGTCGTTCTTCTAACGAAGAGTCGGAAAGAACAGAAAGCAACAACCAAGCTGGCACGAATGAAGTAAGGCTGACCAAAAAACGAACCGCACGACGATTGAGATATACCAAAGCCGACCGATCCCTGTGACCATGACGCTACATGCACTACAACGCGTAGTCATCCATCGCTGCCATAGCGGCAGCAGCTCGCCAAAGCATATCCGACGCCATGTATGCAGAGCTGTCAAGAAGACTTGCCAAAAGCGTCTGACAATTCTAGCCGACTAACCGCGAGGCTATGGAAACCAGATTGTCGTGTTCCACAGCATCTGTCATTCCACTGAGGCGTCTTTGCAGACATTGCCGCCATGCAAAAAGTGATCACGCCTTCTGTGAGAAGGGCAAACTTCCATGGTTGGGGTTGGATATGCTTTAGCGTGATGCAGCGTGGGCGCCCCGCCTGCCCGCATGTTGACCCCGCGCAGGTTTCCACAGTCGGGGCTAGCGAATGAGCGTATGGCCGATGTATGCGACTCGCGCATGGCAATGGCATGATCAGGCTTGAATCGTGAGCGTAGCACAGTAAGCAAGACGAATTGCATTCTATTGGTAAGGACTGGTCCGGACGGAGTCGCCTGTAGCGTGGTCGAAGTGCCATGCGCGCTCGTTCTTGCGTCGTGCTCGGTCTGACAATCTTGATTGCCTAGCGGAAATCAAGCTCGCATGTGAGATATCTGTGCAACTTGAGAGGCAGTGTGCGTCGTGTCACCACTGCCAGAGAGTATCATGTCTCGTGAAGTTCGATATGGTAGGCAGTCTTGACAAGCTGTCAGCTATGAACGCGTGTGATCTTCGCGGGTCATGTCTCGTGTAATGTGACGGGCGGTGTTATGACCCCTAGGCCACTGGCAGCTTTTACAGCATCGAACCAGATGTTACCCATGTGAAAGTAACCGGAATAGGACCTGATACGATTAGCAAGCGTGCTTCTACGCCACAAGTAATCGTGGAACACCCACGGATGCACCCCGTCAACCAATTCCTCGGGTAGGACGATGCTGTGATCGACAACCGCAACTTTGAAGCCCTGATCGAGCTTCTTCTTCACAACCGCAGGCACGGCGTCATTGAACTTCCTGATGTTTTCCTGCGCCTGTGTATCTGCTCCTTGTATGATCTTCGCAACCAGCACCGCAGCGTCCGGGCACACGTCCAGCACGTCGTCTAACAGCGCTGCTAGACGCTTCGGCGCATCTGCCCACTTCTCTTCTGTGGTTTCGGGTCGAGCGAGATCGTTCGTGCCAATATGCAACAAGACGACATTCGGTCGCATCTGAAGTCCAGCTTTCATCAGGCCCTGAAGCTCGCTGATTGTGGCCCCTGGATGCCCCTCGTTGTCATTGTTGGGCATGAGTCCAGAGCGCTGCGTGCCGACAAAGTTCACCGACGCGTAGCGCGCACGTATAAGCGCGTGGACTAATTGTGCGCGGTATCCATCTGTCCCGTTGTCTTGACCCGGCTGGCCACCCCAAGTTATCGAGTCGCCGAGCGGAAGTATGCGTAGTGGGAGGTTGAGGTTCGCGCCTGGTCGTTTGTGGGGGAAGCTTGACATCAGCAGCAGGATCACTATGGAGATGTTAGCACCATACAATGAAGACCCAGGTGTCCAACATGGGCAGCATCTTGGAGTGCCAATGCGACAACTGTAGCTGAGTCTAACGCGCCCGGACCTTGGAACGCTGATGCGACGCACCTATGCAGAAAAAGGCCACTACGCCCAGGCCCTTCAGAACCAGCTTGTTTCGCGGACCTCCCGCAGATGGGAGCATCGGAGGATATCGAGACTGTTCATCAGTCGTCTAGATGGTGCTGCTTCAATGGCATTGTGGGGGCGCAGCAAACAGGAGTCCAACTGAGACCGACGGCTAGCGTCATAGCTCTAGCAATTGACCGACCTTGCGCTAATTATAAGCAGTGAGATTTTGGCTGAGAGTCGCGCAGATCAAACAGGAATATATTGAAACTCCAAGTCGTGTTCGCCAATGGAGATGGCGCGGGGGCCCGGGCAGCCACGAGCTTGGAAGGCCCACTTGCCGGACCCTTAAGGTCCCTAAACACTGATAGCACACACGCTCCTCCAAGGTTTCCTTCACGCCATCAGGGTATCACTTTCGCTTTCCTCATGCGATCGAACGCAGTCGTCCACGTTTCCTTCGTTCCAATCTCCTCCGTGTATCCAACCTCGTGCGAAGCTTCCATGCTCATCTGGCGGTCGAAGTCGAACATCGTCATGATGAAGTACTAATACTGGTCAGCTACTGCACGCGTACACGACGCAACCACATTTCCGACGTACCTGGAATCCCGGATGCGTGATATCGCTATCGACGCTTCCTTTCTTAAGATTGTGCTTCTTCTCCAGCTCCTCCCACTGCTTCTTGTGCGCGTCAATGTACGCGCCCGGCTGTGGTGAGCCCTCTCCAGGACCAGTGCCCTTCAGACCGAAGTAATCGCAAATTACCGGCCACTTGCCGCTCCAGCTATCTTCCTGACCGCCCACGTTAAAGCTTTGCGACGCGGTCTTCTCTGGGTTCAAAGACGCGTGAATGGAAAAGTGCGCGACCATGTCTTGTGGGGATTCATTGTATTTGTTCACCCACGACTTCTCGGTACCAGGGAATGGGCACTTTGCGCCTTCGCCCTCAACAGATCGATATAGCGAGAGGTATAATGCCAGTGTTTGCGCAAGGCAGTATGCGTTGTTGTTTGGCACGAAACCAATGATGTTGTCTGGCCGCACTTCGCACCAGCTCCAGTTCTTCCCTTTGGAGATGCGTTTCAAGCAATCAATTTGGTTGTAGTAAAAAAGCTGGGAAAGATACGGTTCGGGTATCGGTGGCAGCGTCTCCTTGAGTGGTAGGTCGTTTGCGAATGGGAACTTGTCCAACATCTGGCAACCGTAGATCTTGGTTCCCGTCGGAAGCAGTACGTATGATAGCTTGGAGGACAGATGATCGATCGCAGTCACGGCACGCTCCAACATCGCTTCGTTGGTCTTGCACTCGGCTTCTGGTTCATCGATCTGCTTGTATGCTTGGTCATGTCAGACCCTGGAATTCCTTCTAACAGTTGTTACTTACAATAGAAGTACACTTGAGTCACGGTCTCAACATCTTTGACCTTTTCTTTGATCTGCTTCTCGAGCTCTTCTTGTGTTCCCTTGACCAGATCGACACCGGACACAATTTGCAGTCTTGGGTCGTCAGGCCAGAGAGCCATCTCACGTGTCAGCGGCCGATTGACCATAGCTGTAACTCTGGAGAAAGCATCCTTGGAAGGGTATCCGTTCAAGATGGCATTGACGATGGCCCATCCCGAGATGCCAGAAGCACCATAAATCAACGCGTGATTTCCCATGATCTATATATGAGTTGTACGTCAATAGAGAGTATCCAAGGGTATGCGCAGTGTAAGGCTGGACGCAATAATGCGACGCGTGAGGGCCGCATCCTCGTATTTGTATCTTAGACCTATACTACCACATCGGAACCAGCCCGCATTATCTTAGTGTACTATCATTGGACAAGCCAGCTATGCTACTGCATGCCAGTACCTGCTGCGTGGGCTGAGGAAGCTCATGCGGAGAACAATATCCAACAGGTGCCTGACGAGCTCCTTCCCCGCAGCGTCATCCGCCATGACTCGCCCCCTGACAGTCCTTCGGCTACAGTCCCGGCGACTTGCAATAATGACCATGACTGATGCAACGCATGCTCGTATGCGATGCGAAGGCACTCCAGATGTTCAAGGGTTGATACGGGCTCGAAGCATCGTGAGCTCTGTGGCTGGGGGAAAGCGCTAATGAGGCTAGCGCGCCGGAACCCTCGATCGGCCTTCTTGTCTTCCAAGGCTGGTAGTTCCTCTGTCACCACCATGATCTGGTCGCAGTGCCCTTGACCCCAATCACATCGCAGCGATGCGAGTAATTTAACGATTAGAGTTTGAAGTACGCGCAAACATGAACAAGTGTTGCTGTACATCAGACTCGCAAATGCTTTCCGCGCTGCAAGCCGTCCGCCTCCGCATTTGGCACCTTTGAAGCATCGCGTTTTCGAAGAACCCAATGGTCATTTCCAACTAACTCTTCATCGGTAGTCCCAGGTTCGTGCATAATTCCTGCAATTGAATTGAAGGACGTTATTGGCGAGTATATGCCACCTTGGTTACTTCTTCAACGTACGCCATACATCTGTAAGGCGTGATGTCTCATCGTTACCTTGATACCACTGCATCATGGTTGAGCTTTACCTTTGCTTTACCGCCCCTTCTTCGCAGCTGTCAGTATGTTATCGCCCATTGACCGACGGTGTCCTTTCGCTACATTTCTTTACCGCTTCTTGGCCAACATCTAGCTTTACCCGAGTAGCACTCCGAACTATAAAGCGACACCCTCCACGGGTCTTCTGATTAGCTTATTACAATTACATTGCAATATTCAATCATCCCTGGGACCGTAATCCGAATCTAGGAGCTCAATATGGCATTAAAGAAGCAAGTCTCAACAGACTCGGAGGGCAAGACCAAGAGCAGAATTGCGACTACACCGGTGGATCGTCTGCGAGTAGCGGTACGTAACCTCATCGAACATTCATTGCCAGATGACGTGGCTGAAGTGACTACACAGAAGCAACAACTCCAGTGCTCCAACAACGCGCAAACAAAGTTGCATACCATGTTCGAGGAAATGATGCAAGAGCTTGAAGATACAAAGAACAAACTTGAGACAACTGAAGAAGAGCTGGAATCTACTAAGGATAAACTGGACTCGACTCAGGATGAGCTGAACGATACCAAGGAAGAGCTGGAGTCAAGTCAGGACGAACTGGAAACGACAAAGGATGAGCTGGACGAGACTAAAGTAAAGCTGAATGCGGCAAATCTTCTAGCTCAAAACAACCATAAGTCCTGGAAAACCGCACACGACGACTATCGACGGACCAAGAGCATATTGAAATCGCAGAGGCAGACAAACGAGGACCTCGAAACCAAACTGGCGTTCGAAAGAAAGAAGGCGAAGAAGAACGAGACCGCCCAGATAAAGCTCGAGCAGCTCAAAAGCCAGTGGTCGTCACTCTCACATATGCTCGGTAATGAAGATACCAAACTCTAGGTGGGCGGCATGTTGGGTGTTAGTGGGTTGAGTCATTGGCTCCAGGAACATGGATTGATATGGAGTGAAGGATTGCAAACGAGTTTGTGTTTTGCGACTGTGTTTTTGGGACTGTTTTCTTTTTGCGTCATACTGAATCCTGACGCTATCTGCTGTATCCTACTTCAATGGTCACAATGCTACAGGAGATAGGTAGTGCGTAACCAACCCTATGGGTTGAGTCTCTTTTGCAAAAAGGGTTTGAATATACTGAGACAGTACAATTGAGAAATGTGCTCCTCTCCTCGTGCCACATCTTAGTGCAGATTGCACCAATACCCCTTCGCCTCCGTGATAGGCACTCCGGTGATACTTCTGTCTTTCAACTTCCCCGCATCACATGTATCCCACCTACGTTCCCGTTAGCCCAGTCTACCTTGCCACATCTTCTACGCAACAGGACCTACTGCGAGAAGTCACACCCACACGCCTCAGACACCGTTGCTGATAGCGCTTTGCCCGTGATCCCATAACAAGCATCACCGTAGATGACTTGGGTCTTGCCGCCTTGTAGGTAGATGGTGCCGCAAATGGGAGGCCCGGGTGCAGTAGGCGCCGCAGTTGCGGAGATGGCGAGAGTTGAAAGGAACGTAATACTAGTAAGGTGCATGTTGAAAAAGCTACAGGCGGAGGAGCCTTGCTTAGATCGGCTTTTCTAGTTCCCAGGCGATGATGGGCAAGATGAACCTTCTTGGAATGGAGAATTTGTTTGCATAGACGTAGTATTTATGTGAAACCGATCTCGGCGTTTACATGCGCTGTGATATGTGACGTGTGGGGGCAGATGTAAGATCTCGCCTTTCGATCATATGCGGGTGCTCTATTACAAGGTACGTACGTGAACGAGCGTCTTCGGTGGCGCATAACGCGTGTTGAGAGAGAGGGTTCTTACCTGCATGGTCTGCATGTAAGCGCGTAACTCGTTAGTCACAGATACGAGTGAGCACACCACTGAGACCAATCCTAGAGTATACACTTTGTTTTTTTTCTATGTACTTCTAACCAACCCAGTCGATCTCCTTCTCGTACTGCCAGAAAGCACCTGTCTTGTTCTGAATGTCGTGGATCGCGAGCATTACGGGGGTTTGAGCGCCTTCTTCTACAGTCCTCGTTCCGTTGCCTAGATTTGGTGTATAGAGTCAGTACATGTCTCACATGGTGCACACGAGAAAAAGTTTGCTTACCCTTTGTCATGTCCGTGTTGACATAACCTGGGCAGCAGGTATTGATCAATACCTTGCTTCCCTTCTCCTTCTCTTGTCTGGCCAGCGCCCGTGTGCCTCCAATTAATCCTGCCTTGCTCACAGCATACCCGGCACTAGGGAAGCCAGCGTCCTTCTCCTTGCCAGCTTCGACAGCAGCAACAAAGTCCTTCATGATGCTTGTGACATCTTCTTCGGTCTTGGAGGCGAGGAAGCGGTTGCGAACTTCTTCGGAGTATTTGTTGAGCTTGCCAGCCATGCTGCCGAGGTTCACGATGCGACCGGTGGGTTTGAGGAGGGGGAGGAAGGTGTGGCACGCCTCGAGCGTCTTGTAGTAGTTGCAGTCGAGGGTTGTCTTGACGAGGTCGGCATCTAATCATGTTAGGGACGACGGATAGCACATTGGAAGGAGATACTTACTGAAGCCGTCCAACGCGATACCAGCGTTGTTGATGACAAAGTCAATGCCGTCCCCATGAGCCTGCTTCAAGTGGTCCGCAAGAGTCTTGATGCTGCTGCTGCTTGTGATGTCAAGCAGATGGAACTTGATCTCAGAGAGACCGCCGTCGGCCTTCAATGCCTTGGCCTGCTTCAATGCCGCATCTTGCTCCAAATCCTTAACGGCAGCTTCTCCTCTGCCCTGATCGCGAGCCGTCAGATAGATCAGAAAGGGTCCGTTGTTGAGCGGCGACTTGGGGTACTGCAGAGCGAGCTGCTGCACGATGGCGCGTCCGATGCCCTGTCAATGTTAGTTTGGTACTCCCGAAGATGCTGTGGACGTGTGTAGGTACCTTGTTCGCGCCGGTGACGACTCCTACTCTGCTGTATGACATGATTGTTTGTGTGCTTCAATTGATCGGTGTTTCGTGGAAGAAAGAGGGGAGTGATATGCTGAAGTATCTTCCCCACATTGTACCATTAATCATCATCGAAAGAGCTTCGCTGTTCGGACTTAGCAAGGTCGATACGTCACTAATCATCGGTGGATCCAGATGTCCCGGCCACCTGCGGGCATCGTGCGGCACCAAAGACGCTATTCCGGATAGGGCTAACACTGCCGCGGCCACGCTCTCTCGATTTCGCTGTCTGCCTGCGGATGTTCACTACACCACACCTGCATGAACCAGCTCAGCACTCTTGATTACTGATTGAACCGAGCCTTGACAAACTTTCCATTAACTCCATGGTTTTCTACGGCGCGGTTGTCATCCCTAGCAACTTGCATACACAGCCCTCGGCCATCCGTAACCTCTAACACAGACACGGTAGATGGATCGTCTGGTAATTGCTGCATGTCCTTCCACTCGGCGTATCGCTCCCCGTCTGCAAGTACAAATCGTAGTAACTCGCTTCAGCCGATTTGCATACGAGGAAGTTCAGCTCTAGGCCGCATGTTAGCACCGCCGACAATGAGCCGAACATGGCTCCTTCCTGAGTACTTACGTCGTCCATAGCTACTGCTCTGCACAGTGATGATAGTATCACCCTCCAATCCCCACGCCGTAGTCTCCCCAGTGGCTCCCCAGACCAACGGCTTGTAGCTTGTCGATGCGGTCGCAATGTTCAGATACTGGGTTGTCTTTTTCGATTGGATGCTGCCACCGATGGTAAATTCGTCAGCTGCGGTTTCGGGTCCCAGCACAGGGATTGATGCTATACGTGTTATTAACAAGATTCTGGAAAAGTAATAAAGCTGAATGTCAAGAGAAGGAAATCAGCATACCATTCTTAGCGCTTGCTTGCAGGTATAGATGGTAAATTGGGTCCCGAACGCCACGTATCTTGCCTACGGTTGCTGCAGCGCTCTGAGCATTCTCAACCGGCGCAGCGAGTGCGCCCGATGTTACCAACAAGATATGGGCGAAGAACGACAACATCGCGAAGAAGAATCTGAAGCTTCAATATGCAAGACTGGGACTCGATTCAGTCCCTAGGTCTCTTTATAAGTGATCGCATCTTTACATCACATGATCCCAGTCTGCAATATAGCAGATTAATTACGGTCGCGTCACGCGTAGAGATGTTTACCACCGGATATAACGCATCTGCATCCCTGTCGTTCTACAGCTATCGAAAGGAACCACCGAGATAGGCACAACATTGTGCATTTGGTACAATCTGAACATTGCCCGGACTGAAGAAGTCAGGACGCGATACTGGAGGGACGCGCTAACACTTTGGGTTAGCGCGGAACGCGAAGGTCATTTACTTGGCATCTAGGCAGTCGCCCCCCGTCTCACCTGCAACCACCTACCATTATCGACTCAAACTTTTGTCCTACAGTGCTCGGGCTGTACAATCGCACCCACTGGATTTGATGACAACGAACGCTTATCATGGTCGGGCTTACAACAATCACGTCGCCCACGTCATGTGGTGCGACTAGCAGCAGCTATGACCATCGAGCCGCACGCAGGAACATGGACAATTCAACTGATCAGCAAATGAACGACCGTGACGATGCTATATCTATATCTTCATCTTCAGCGCGAGCCTCTGCTGCTACCGGATCATCTACGCTCGCCACGACAGGATCCTTATCAGCTCCCGAAAACGTGGAGTGTGTTGAGACTGGTGCACAGAATATGGATCGCTACATCGCACTTGGCTGCCTTCACTTCAAGCACGCGTTCGACTGTAGTTCAATCTCACCATCGAGTGGTGGTTGGGTCGAATTACTGCAACAAGAGCTTCCCGACGAGATCAAGGCCAGCATCGGTATTGAAGCATCACGACTGCTTGAAGCTCAATGGATTCGGATATTTGCGCGTAGAGGAACGCCTGGTAATGCGTCTCACCACGGCCTTCTTCGCGTCTATCTTTTGCCAGAAGACTGGGCTCGTCGTACGATTGACCGTAACAGCAAGAGCTTGAAGAACGTTCTGCGGACACTGCTCCAACAAATTGACATCTCACCGAGTGCTTGGAATGGAGACTCAAATCCTGATGAGACCCGTTACTTCGATCCCTGGGCTCATGTAGAACCTTTCTCGCTATACTACCTTTTCAACAAGCTACCATCGCCTGCGCCCGACGTGGGGAAGATCAAGTGTCGCTATACACGTGCCGCCGTACAAGACGTATTAGATTCTGCGGCAGTCTCAGAATGGTCGGAGCATGGTGAACAGGCTCTACCGGGGCTCAAGACCAGATTATACGCGTATCAGACACGGTCGGCGAGCTTGATGCTGCAACGGGAAGCTTCGCCACAGCTGCAGCTTGATCCAAGATTGGAGGCTCGTACCTCGCCTGATGGCAAGGAATTTTACTACGGGCCTAGAGATGGATCATTTCTACAAGAACCGCGCTACTACGAAATGAACCGGGGTGGTATTCTGGCAGAGACCATGGGCCTGGGGAAAACGGTAATTTGCTTGGCCGTTATTTTGGCAAGTAAGGGCCATCTTCCAAAGATTCCAGTCGCATACCGACCATTACCTCCTCTTCGCAAGCGACCTGGATCGTTGGCAGACATGGCGATCTCTTCCGCTGGCCGACATTCAACCCCGATGAAATCCTTCCTCGAGCAGTCTGAGGCGAATGGGGCTGGAGATATCACAAGCATCAAAGATGCGCTGGATCGAGATGTTCCATTCTACGAGATACCACCAGATATTCCACGCATGAACAGGAACACCCGAATACCACCAACACGTCAATTGGTGCTCTCATCCGCCACCATCATTGTCGTACCGCGAAACTTACTCCACCAATGGCAGTCCGAAACACAAAAGCACATCCTTCCGGGTGGCCTCAAGA